AGCCCGTCCCTGGACCCATTGTGTACCTCTGTAATCTGTTAAATCCTTTTAACTTGTCATGATTGTGACTAGACCTACCGGAGTCATTACTTTGTAAATTGTGAGTTCAATACCTCTGTAAACTTGCTCAGCTATCAAAACTTTGAGGCCCAGTCCCTGGACCCATTATGTACCTCTGTAATCTTTTAAACTACGCCCACAGATGGGTATGGTGCATAAACATATTAAACAAACTAGCACAAAATGGTAACACACACACACACACACACACACACACACACACCACACACACACACAAAACACACACACACACACACACGAGCTATGATTCTTCCCCTGAGACCACAATTGAGTATCCCACTATTACGTATAACAATTATAATAGTCTAAATTTTTTGTCCCGCATGTGTACCTGTACCTAAATAAATTTTCATTCTTTTAATGTTAGCTCACGGGTGAAGTGCAGCTTTGATATATGCAGTAGATAGACTTTAAACCTAACTAGACCTGTTCTGAAAATTAGTGACGAGAGTTTACCTTGCCGCCAAATTTTTATAGATGAGGTTCGTTGTTGTCACTTTAAACGTGTTAGGGATAGCGAAATCACCGGAGGATAATTTTTTAAATATAGCATCCTGTACTGACGGTTTTAGCAAGGAAATATTGGATTTATTGAGAGTGTTTTTGAAAGATTTAATGAAACTGTTGAAATCATGCTGATAAGTGTCCTCCCACTTTCAGAGGTTTCATAAAATATCGTGGAAGATGCTGTGGACGATTGACAAGGTTGTGAGATTAATGTTCTGGGGAGGAGTTAGTGCACTGCTGGCCACAGTGCTGAGTGTCCTGGGCATAATGTCCTGCGTGCTGGCCTTCACTACTCTCTGGCTCTTCACTGCTTCCATGTACATGTACACTGCTAACATGAAGGTCAGTCGATTCCTCTACTTTTAACTCTAGACAATAATTTGGACAAAGGTTATGCCAAAATAATTTTTCTAGGGTTCAGTGAAATTTTTTTAGGTGCTTCTAGTTTTTGTCCATGAATTCGTCTCTACCCCGAAACAGTTAGCCCAAATATATAGTATACATCAATGAAATCACGAAACAAGTGATTTAAAATCATTTACCAAACTGCGGCAGGCCAGGACTCGACCCTACGAACCTTGTACCGCTCCAGAGACAGCACAATGCACGCATCACCTTATGGATCAGTGGTGTAGTGGTAAGGTGATGCGTGCATTGTGCTGTCTCTGGAGGCAGTACAAGGTTCGTAGGGTCGAGTCTGGCCTGCCGCAGTTTGGTATTATAAAGTGTATGTATTTTTAAGTTCTAACTTTTCAGTAATTGCTGCTGACTATTTACTGTGGCTACTTCAGGAGCCGGTGGTGGGGAAGGCGGTGGTGGTTTACAGGATTTCGACTCTGGTTTCGGCAACACCTTGGCCCTGCACCTGGACAAACTGGTTAGTGACTATACTAAATGTATATCAAGACAGGATTTTGCATCTACACAATCAAAAATAACTAAATACCAAGTATATTATGACCCGTCAAAGCGCCCTAGCATTTAGAATGTCTTTGAGTCTTCGACAAGTGAAGATAATCCTAGTCCAATTTACCAATTCACATTTGGAAAAATTAACTCGTTACTATTACAATGAACAAGAGCTTGCAAATAAGTCTTTACTTTGCTTTCTTATAACTATTAGGTTGACACAGCAAAGGTCCAGGGAAAGTGAAACTTGTTAGTACCACGCAAGCTTATTACATTCTTGCACTCTTGTATTATTGGGCCCATATATACCTGTTATCTTTGTCTGCCGTGTACTGCATGGGTATGTATGAGCGGAATTGAAAAACTATAAGATAGATTTTCTATTTCAGTAGGATGAAAGAACCTGACAGGAAATGCTGTAGGAATAAAGTAGGTATGTTTCCTAATTACATCTTAGTGTTCCTAACAAATAGAACAGTAGTAGTAAACAGAGTAAAGTCTGAGGCGACAACGGTGAAAAGTTCCAGGCGGACATCAACCAAATCTTTTAAAGGGTTGCAGAAAACAATATGAACTTCAATGATGAGAAATTTAAATTACTCCGATATGGAAAGTGAGAGAAAATTAAGACTATATGATTATAAAACCAATTCCCCAACTACACAATAGATGCCAGAACAATTTCTGACAATTGTGAACGAGTTCATCTAATTAAAAATATATGAAAATTGCTTGACAAATAAAATTTAAATATGAATTGGGGAAGGGTACAGTTGTGTAATTTGGGTGGGCTCTATTGTTTAAACAAGGGTGTGTGGCTGCTATTGTTTCCTTAAACCTTCTTGATCTGCTAGGTCACGTGTTGAAGCGTCTTTAAGTTATGCCCCATCAGATGTAATGTATTGCCGCTAGGATAGCTCATGCAGCATCTGATATGCTGTAAAATGGAGAATGTCATTATAGCCTTAAAAATGGTTAAGTTTTAAACTACCTCTGCTTCGTCTATGTTAATCTCTGGTGATGCCTTAGACTTAGTCTATGGCTCCAACGTGTACTGATATACGGAAGAAATCAGTATGGAAAATAATACCAGTGTACTGGAATGTATTAACTTTCAGTTTTATAATCGAGAATATTTTCCAATAATTAAAGGTAATATTTTTAACAAAGAACAGTGTTGTCAGGCGAACAATTTTAAAAGTATGTTGGACAAATGTATGTGTGCGGGACCTATTTATGTGAGGTGTCAACTTCTTTGAAGTGTTACCTCAGGGTTTAACATAAAATGTGCTGCTCTTGCCTCATCTTTGAGGACTTATGTCAAACTTCAGGTGTTCAACGCCCCTCCAGAGAATCTCCAGAGTCGTTTCGGCACTCTGGCTACTACCTGAGTGCTAGGAATGGCTCAAATGTAGTTGAGACTGTCCTCGTCGTACGGCTGCCCCCTCCATAGGTCTGTAAACGGTACATCACTTGTACATGCTCCAACACTCCTTCAGGAGCCACTGCCGGGTCACCACATAAAGACCCAGGCCAGGACCCGTCCTGGCAAACCTACATGAATATGCCTGGTCTCCGTATTTTCACTGGTATTATTTTCGTGTTGTAAGCATAAAAAAATCGAGACCATTACCAGGGGACAGTGGTGGCAAGATGAGCACACTTGATCCATAGAAATCTAGGAACATGTCTCCTCAAGTCTATTGATTTTGAACATTAAAATGGTATAAAATACCGACAGTGTTAAGCGCCGATGTAAAAATGGCTTGCGATGTTAACTGTGCAACCGTAAGTTACTCATATATAGCCTTCGCAAAATCGCGCACTTCATTAGGGTCGTGAGAACAATAGTTTTTAAACTCTTCATTGCTATGCCGAGACTAAAGCATTCAGATAAAGGTTTACAGGGTTCAACAGCAAGTTTTCAAGCATTAGCAGGCTCATGGTGACTGTGTTGAATGATTCATAAAGGTTTAGCACTTTTATTACTATAATCATGATGACTTGCATGAATGCTGACCTTGACAAGGAACATAGCCGCCAGTTTTAAGTGTTATGGTGTAGACCTTTCTGTGGTTATTTAAAATCGACCTTTAAACTTCCAATGCTCTAGTTTTAGCAGTTATATAGGAGGTTTGTGAAGGAAATCAAAAGAATGGGACTATAGAATCTTCTTAAATAATTTTTTTCAGAAACTAAAGGTTTTCGTATACTATGTCTGAAGTCGTGGTGTGGTACAGTTATTGGAACGAGGCTGCCATGGCAGCTTCCACACTTGCGTGAAGGTATGACAACCTGTGATGTATGTGATGATGCAAGTCTGTATGTGATGATGCAAGTCTGTATGTGATGATGCAAGTCTGTATGTGATGATGCAAGTCTGTATGTGATGATGCAAGTCTGTATGTGATGATGCAAGTCTGTATGTGATGATGCAAGTCTGTATGTGATGATGCAAGTCTGTATGTGATGATGCAAGTCTGTATGTGATGATGCAAGTCTGTATGTGATGATGCAAGTCTGTATGTGATGATGCAAGTCTGTATGTGATGATGCAAGTCTATATGTGATGATGCACGTCTGTTGTAGGGAGACTAGACGTTCAGGTGAAGAGCTATGCCGATTGTTTGTAACATTAGTTTTGTGGAAAATTTTACATAATTTTCCTAAATGTAGGACATATAAATGAATAATATAATAGCGTATTAAAATGTGATGATATTTGGACCCTTCGAGAAATTTCGAGAGGGGGGAGGTAGAACAGCTGGAGGGGAGTGACGCTGCAGGGGGACACCATTTGTAATTTGTGGACACTGGTTTCCGTGGGAGATTCTGCTAATAAACCGGCCTCTTCCGAGCCAAATTGGGGGTTTTTGGCCTGAATTTGTAATTAGGAACTTGGGTTAATGTCTCTTGCTGAAGAATTGGGACAGGAAATTTGCAGGACCTCAAGAATTACTTGTGGATGGCGGAAGATAAGGGAAGTACACCATTAATCCTTACATTTAGATCTCTAGCTGGCTAATGTAGGGTCTAGGTGTCAGGCAGGTGTTGTGGTGTGATCCATCTACAGTAATTAAATGGTAAGTGGTAAAACGAATTTCTTTTGTGTATCCAACTAGCCCAATCATATACAGTCCACAACTTCAATTTACCAGAGTAGCTGGTTTTAATATTATAATTATTAATTTAATGTTAGGTCTAGCTTTTTTTTGCGAGTGGTGAAGTGGGCATCGAGGGAGTTACAGTTCGGCGAACTACTGTGACACAAGTCCCACAAGTCCCACTTATCTTGCCCAAATTACTTGCACGTAATAATTCAGGTAATACCCTGTAAACCTCATGCAGGTAATTTACTCGCATAATAATTCACAATAAGTTTTGTAAGAGAGATGTAGGATGTTTGAAGATCAGATCTAAAACGGCTAATTGTGAAGACTGATGCTCAAGTTGAGACTTGGGACTGCGATAGTGTCAACCATTCATGTTCCTTCCTCTTTCAGGGTTTCAAGGTATTTGCTGCATGCCTGCATGCAGAAGGGGAAGGCGCACAGCACCTGCGGCAGGAAGGCTCAATTAACCTTCATGTCCTGCAGATGGATGTCACCAAACAAGATCAGGTGGACAAAGCTGCTGAAGAGGTTAAAAGATTGCTGCCTAAGGGATGTGAGTCTCTAAATATCACAAACGCTTCCAGGCGATTTATAGTCTGATATTTAGCTTAGGAAATTACCTAAGTGTTATGCCTTCTATACAATAGTTAGTAAATAGTAATGTGGGGGATTTTCACAAGAACACTATCTCGTAATTAATATTCCACCCACACTCGGGTGTGCGTGGAATATTAATACACAGAATTCAAATTGTAACTTACTAAAGTTGATTTATCCTGGAGACATGTGGGACTTGAGGGACACTGGGGTCGCAAAAAAAAATGTCCCTCCAGTGCCCATCATCTCGGCTCGCCCACCAGCTCTGGGACCCTGGATTAAGAACATATGGTTCCTGTATATTATGGAAATTTACATCAGTAAAACTATTTAGTTTATAATTATGAAGAATTTAAGTGGACTTGAAGCAATTTTTTTTTGTCTACTAGGTTTCAATTATTAATTATTTCATGTTAGGGACATAAATTATTACTTACCAATTTATTAAATTGGTGGTATATCCTAACTCCTTCCATAGGAAGATTGAAAAGAAAATTGACGAATATCAAGTTACCGTACCTGTGTACCTGTCGTGTGACTTGTAATTCACACTGGGAGACGAACTTAATTATGCTCGCGGTAGTAGACAATGTGGCGTCTAATGCACAGCTTCCGCATCGCGTTTTCTGTCTTCAAGTCGCTAGGTTCTTCGGTTTCATTTTAGAGAATTTACAGATGTTAGTCCTTTTCACTTATAGCGTTGAATTAATCGCCGATATTACTAACGGACACTACAGAATTAGCGAAACATTCACCCCCCCCCCCCCTTTTTTTTCCTCTTCTACCAGTACACGTACATTTATTCAAATTTAGTGATATTTCTGGGAGTAATACAATTTCCTTATCAGAATATTTATTTCTTCGATATTACAATAATTCCACTTGTTACATTAAAGAAATTATAGGGAATGTTGGTTTCCTGTGACATCTTTCGAAAGTCACATTAACATTACCCACCTGCATTATTATATAAACATTATTATGTCTACCAATTATTACATTCAGATCATAGGAGAATTATCAGAGCTTTACACAACGAAAGCTCTGGAAAGATATTAGGAAATTAATAATGAAAGTAAGTGTAACAAAGGGTATTGTTTCATCCATATGGGGATCCAGATGGGGATCTGGATTATCATATGGCTTTCACTCTTCATTAATGATCAGTACAGAGCGAAACGTTGTGGAAAAGCTTCTCGTGTTCTGCTTCACTGTTTCTTTAGGTAAACCTCTGAAGTTATTTTTTCTATTTTATAGTATTGGGTATTGGAAAAATAACTTTTTTTTTTCACTTACTTTCTTACATCGACGGTAATTTTTAGTCCAGCCTTTTCATAAATATGTTAAGTATGCAACAGAAAACTCATATTTTGATGTTTTGTATGAATTTTGTATTAATGTCTTAAATAATTTTGGGAGGGGGATTTTATCTACTTAGGCTATTGCTCCACTGATGTCACTTTAATGTTATGGCGACTTAGCCTGACCGAGAACCCGGGTAGAGTTGTCTGTAACCTTGATTTTCATGTGATGACCACTTCTCGCTTCACACAGCGAGGGCCTGGGTTCGATTCCCAGCCAGAGTAGAAACATTGGGCGTGTTTCTTTCCACCTGTTGTCTTGTTCCCCATCAGTAAAATGGGTAACTGGTGTGGGTCGCATCCTGGGACACTGACCTAATTTGCCCGACATGCGGAGCATAACGAGGGGCTTTCTATATATTAGTATGTCATTGTTGTCAGCTAGGCCTGTATATCATGTACATGTAGTAAATAAAGATATTATTATTATTGTTTACCTGGAGTTTACCTGGAGAGAGTTTCGGGGGTCAACGCCCCCGCGGCCCGGTCTGTGACCAGGCCTCCTGGTGGATCAGCGCCTGATCAACCAGGCTGTTGCTGCTGGCTGCACGCAAACCAACGTACGAGCCACAGCCCGGCTGATCAGGAACTGTCTTTAGGGGCTTGTCCCGTGCACTTGAGACTGCCAGGGGTCTGTTGGTAACCCCCTTATTGTGTGCTGGGAGGCAGTTGAACAGTCTCGGCCCTACACTTATTGTATGGTCTCTTAAAGGCTATGACACCCCCGCTTTTATTGGGGGGGTGGTGCAGTCTGCCCAAATCTTTTGCTTTGAGTGAGTGATTTTCTGTGCAAGTTTGGTACTGTCCTTAGGATTTTTGGGGTATATAAAATGTATCTCTCCCTCCCGCGTTCCAGGGAATACAGGTTTAGAAACCTCAAGCGCTCCCCGTAATTGAGGTGTTTTTTTTTTCCTTATGCGCCCGGGGAAAGTTCTTGTACATTTTCTAGGTCGGCAATTTTTACCTGTTTAAAAGGTTGTTAGAGTGCAGCATATTCCAGCCTAGATAGAACAAGTGACCCGAAGGTGTCATCATGGGCTTGGCCCCCTATTTTGAAAGGTCCATTATCCATCCTTCTTTTTTCTAGCAGATCGATTATACAATTTTATGGGCCTTGAAGGTGAGATCCTCCACTTAATCACTCCCAGGTCTTTGAGTTTGGTGTTTTGCTCTATTTTTTGGCCAGAATTTGTTTTTTACTCTGTGAAGATTTAATTTCCTCATGTTTACCATATCTGAGTACTTGAAATTTCTCATCGTTGAACTTCATAATTGTTTTTCTGCAGCCCACTGAAGATTTGGTTGTATGTCCGCCTGGAGCCTTGCAGTGTCTGCAATGGAAGAACACTGTCATCAGATTCGGGAGTCATCTGCAAAGGAGACACGGTGCTGTGCTGACATCCATGCCTAAGTCGGATAATGAGGATGAGGAACCAAGATGGAGCTATACTGTGCCTTGTGGGACAGAGCTTTTTCCCACCTAGCCCCCTGCCTCGGACTTTACTCGTTGACGACTACTCACTGTGTTCTGTTAGTGAGGAAATTATAGATCCATCGACCGACCCCCCCCCTTTTTTCCTTTTATTCCTTTAGGCGCGACATTTTTGTGCGCTATTATGCGACGCCATGGTCACACTTGTCGAAGTGCTTTTGCAAAGTCAGTATAGATTTACATCTGCCATTCCTTTTTTTGTTCTTCTAAAGGTTTTTGCCCCCCATTTAGACCTTGTCGTAGTGATCCAGCTAGTTGAGACAGACAGGACGCGACCTGTTCTAAAACCCATGATGCCCTGGTTTTGTTAACTGATGGGTTTTCTAGATGGGTGGTGATCTTGCTTTCTTAGGACCCTTTCAAAGATGTTTATGAATATGGGATGTTAAGTGCTATTGGCCTGTAGTTCTTTGCTGTGCTTTACTGCCCCCATTGTGGAGTGGGGCTATGGTCTGTTGTTTTTAGTATGTACTGAGGGACACCCCCGTGTCCATGCTCCCTCTCCATAGGATGGAAAGCTCGTGATAGGGGCTTCTGCAGTTCTTGATGAAACACAGAGTTCCATGAGTCCTGGGCCACTGGGGCAGAGTGCCCTGGGCATGTCCCATTTTATCGCCTGTTCGATTCATTTGGCGTCAGGATATAACTCGGAATAGGCCTTGTGTTAGTCTAATTTTTTGGCTCTCTCATAAAAAATTCATTTGGTCTTCGACTCATCAGTCTGGTTAAGCGGCTTGCTAAAAACTGAGTCATATGGGACTTGAGAGTACTCACTCATTTTCCTTGCTGTCATCTGTGTAGGACCCATCTTGTTAAAGGTAGGGGCCCAATACTGACCGTTGTCTCGATTTGATTTGGCATAGAGAAGAAAATACTTTGGTTTCTATCGATTTCATTTATGGCTTTTAGTTCTTCCCGCGATTCCTGACTCTAAAAGGGGATTCTTTTAGCTTAAGTTCGATGCATTGCTATTTCCTCTGACCATGTCTCCCTCGCATTTTCAGATATATTGACCTCTTTTAGCCGCTCTGTTATTCTTTTCCGTCGCCTGGTAAAGGGAGCCCAGTCTCTTTCTATTTTACATCTAACTACTCTCCTTTTTCTTAGATGAATAAGGCCTTGTCATACATCTAGTGCCACCGAGTAATTCTGTTACTAGGCATAAGGTTTGGTCTGTGTTTGCTTAGTATATATTTCCCAGCTTATATCGGTTAGACTTGGTTTACTTGGTCCCGACTTTAATATGTTTTTGTTATTGAAGTTGAATTTGGTGAATGCTCCCCATGACTATTCTCATTTTGTCGTCTGTGTGGGGCTCCATGCATACATGTCTGAACCTCAATTATGTTGTGATCTGAGTATATTGTTTTTGATATGGTGACATTTCTTATCAGATCATCATTGTTAGTGAAGATGAGGTCTAGTGTATTCTCCAGTCTTGTAGGCTCTATTATTTGCTGGTTTAAATTGAATTTTGTGCAGAGATTTAAAAGCTCGTGTGAGTGTGAGTTTTCATCAGAGCTGCCTCCTGTGTTTTTTTCTGCAACAATATTATTGCTATATTCCTCCATTTTAGGTGCCTTAAGTTGAAATCCCCCAGGAGCAAGATGTTGGGTGCAGGAGCTGGAAGATTTTCCAGACAGTGGTCAATTTTTAACAGCTGTTCCTGGAATTGCTGGGATGTTGCATCCGGAGGCTTGTAGACTACCACAATGACTAGGTTTTGGTTCTCGACCTTTACTGCTAAAACTTCCACTACGTCATTTGAGGCATTAAGCAGTTCTGTGCAAACAAGTGACTCTGCAATGTACAGGTCACCTGGTCACAGACCGGGCCGCGGAGGCGTTGACCCCCAAAACCCTCTCCAGGTATATTCCAGGTATGTGAGCGGCGGAGGCTGGCAGGCCTCAGCCAGGCTGCTCAGTGTCCCTTCCGTCAGCGCCATGGTGGATAGAGGATTGCGAGAAGCATATGTTAGTCAGGAAACAGAACAAGTGTTTCCTGAATCGGGTTTTAGTCATATGATGACCCACAACTGGAGCTTTTGATCATCTGATGGAATACTTCCGCTGGCTTACCGGTCCACTTTAAAAATCATGGTTC